GATACCGCACTAACACGCACATAAACAGTTGTGTGTATGATACATTGATACAGACAAACACAGTTGTCCTGCATAACAGGAGTCACTGACAGAGAAACTCATTGTCCTCCTGTATACATCTCAATGGTTGTTAATCATTCAAATCCAACCATCACAGTATAAGAGTAAGATATACTGTATATAGAAAGAGACAGAGAAAGGGAGCAAAATAGATGGGATAAGGAGGAAATAGGTGGAGGAAAGAAGGTAGAAGAGAGTGGATTGATGCCAGAAAGAGGAAGAATGGAGAAGAGAAACATTAGGAGGAAGAGAAAGGAGGAGAGACGAAGGAAAAGACGAGAGGAAATCAATACAAGTGAGATGGCAGCAAAGGAGGGAAAGGGGTCACAAATCACCCAAGCCAATACTGTGTGTGCCAATAGTCTGTGTGTGTGTGTGTGTGTGTGTGTGTGTGTGTGTGTGTGTGTGTGTGTGTGTGTGTGTGTGTGTGTGTGTGTGTGTGTGTGTGTGTGTGTGTGTGTGTGTGTTTGTGTGTGTGTGTGTATGTCACAGGTCAGTGCGAGACTAATAACCATTCACACTTTGGCTAATGGAGACAAAGTAAGTAACCTAGTACACAATATGTCATTAGCACTTCTCAAGGCTAATGGAGATATACTGAGGTTGTACAGTACGAGCGTTGCTTAAGCAAACACTGAAAATGCCCTTCACAATAAGATATCTAATCTAGACAAATTATGCTGGTTCTCACCTTAAATCACATTAATTCAGAGGAAGATATGGTTAGCATGTTTAAGCAAATGACACTGCTAATAAAGCTACTGTCTGCTCTGAGGAAGAGGGCAGGTTGCTTTTTGTGTTTGTTTGAAGTACTCCAGTTAGCTCTGTTTGTAAACTGAGACAGGCAGTGGAGCAGTTTAGAGAATAATGCTTCTTCCTCCAATTTAGAGGAAGACCTCAGGGAATCCTACGCCCCCCCCCTCCCTCAACCTGCCTGTGACCTTCACCTGGCTTACCCTCCTTCCAGCTGAGGCTCCATGTGGCCAATTTCAATAAATGTATTGAGCCGTCTGAAGCTCACATGTACTGTAGCTACACTTTCCGTTCATTATATAGAAAAATAGATGTTCTTACTAACTCATTAGATGGAGTAACTTTTTATTTGCAATTTAAAACAAATTGCACAAAGACGACCATATGGTGCCTTGTACTCCTGGAGACAAGGACACTGAATGAAATGGACCCATCACAATGCAATTTACATCTGTACGTTTGTTTTCCGTTTTTCAAAACATCCTTCTTCCTCCTTGCTATGATCTAATACCTATTTTATAGTTCTTTTTTTTCCTGCAGTATAAAGATAATAATAACATGTATTCTAATCATCCTGTTCAACTAGATCACGATGTATCATGATGCAAGGTATTTCAAACCCAAATATTGCGCTACCTTTTGGAGTAAAAATAAAAGAGAAACATTGTTAGAAAGTCAGAGTTGGAGTACGCAAGAAAGAGAAATAAAAGTGCCCAGCAGGACTCCTATCATCTTTCTCCTCAGTGTGACTTCCTGATATCTTTTGGCCTTTCCAGCCCTCTCAAAGGCACCCTCCAACCGCATCGCTCCCTCAGCATCCCTCCAACCGCATCGCTCCCTCAGCATCCCTCCATCAGCATCGCTCCCTCAGCATCCCTCCATCAGCATCGCTCCCTCAGCATCCCTCCATCAGCATCCCTCCCTCATCATCCCTCCATCATCCCTCCCTCAGCATCCCTCCATCATCCCTCCCTCATCATCCCTCCCTCAGCATCCCTCCCTCATCCCTCCATCATCCCTTACTGATCTCCCCTGCTTTCTTTAGGCTCAGGTTTTATCTACCTGTGCTCTCTCCAATTTCAGTCAGTTGGAATTAGAGTAGAACAAGAAACAGCATGGCGCAAAGAGAAAGGAAGAAAAAGGGAAGGGAGAGGATGGGATAGAGTGAAAAGACAGAGATAATAAAAGCAGTAAGGGGGCCATAGCTCCTAGCTGTGTCTGAGAAACAGCAGGAAACAAACAGGAGAAAACAGCTTACAGAGTTCTGTTTTCACACAGATAAACAGACCAGTCGCTGTGCATTCACCAGCTATAGTCCTATAACAGCTTACTACTGTATGTGGTATGTTGCATGACATAGTACTGTATTCATAACCTTGTCATAATCTGATCATCTTTTGTTCAAAGATAACATAAACGTTTTTCATGAAAGCAAAAAGGCATTTCTTCATTGCATTTTATATGTAAAAAAAAAAGAAGGAATTAATGTTCCAGTCTCCAAACATCAACAGCTCTTGATATTGCATAATGTCCCCATGTTATCTATTTATTCATTTCATTTTCACATGTATGGATTATGTGGATTATGGTGTTGAGGAGATTAGTGTCCTAGAGCAGCCATTTGTTTTATTAAAGTGGCATTAATATGGCTTTGTAAAATGTACATGAAGCATCAATTAAAGCAGCACAACAATGGATAACAAAATCATGTTTCCACGTGGCCTGAAGGTCATTTCAACAGACAGGAACACTCAATGATAAAAGTGGACTTATTTTAAGAACTCATTGGGTTAGATGTTGTTAGAAACACAGAGTCAGCAATATAACTACTGTAACAAATCATCAAGGGTGTCTTGAGCCTTGAGAGACCACATGGTATCCATCTCATACATTAGAGCCTAAATCCATGGGTTGTTAATTGAACAGAATTTCCTCTCAATAATGTGCCGCCTGGAATGAAGCAGCTGCAAATCAACGGCTGATAGGATACTAATAAATGACTTGCAGCTGTGTGTGATGACAATAATGCCCATTGAGAGTTTGGAGTGGGGAAAAACGAGGGAACAGAAGGAAAACCATAGATGATTATGGGGGATAGACATATGTCATCTCATTTCACTTATGGGAAGGCCCAGAAGGCTGTGAGAGAAAAATGTTCTTTACAATGACATTTTCAGCTTTCTACTAGTCAATGATTTAAGTCAATGCCAGTTTTTTCAAGTAGGGCTAACGCAAAATGCAAATATCTTCAGAGATAAATGACCTAAAAGATACAGATTGGATTTGTCTTTTCTGAGAGTTTATCTTAAATGCTAAACCTCCTCAGGTTAAAGGTGATACAGAATAGGATAGGAGATCAGAAAATAAATATAGAACAAAGTAAGTTGACTAAATGAATAATACATGACAAATGAAATGAAAAATGTATGAAATGAAAAAAAAAACAAGAAAGAACAATAATTAAATATTCAAGACAAAGTGGGAATTAGACCGAGAGATAAAAAGGGAAAGTGCTTTTCAAAATAAATGCTTAAGCAATCAAAACAAGTTATGGTTAAAAATGATAACCAAAAGAATAACAAGACTTTAATATTATTCAGTAATTTGCCACTGTGTGTATATCTGTGTGTTTCTATCTGTACTTGTTGTTTCACCTCTCTCATGTTTACTTCTTTCAGGTTTTGTTGCATTTATTCTCCTCTTCCTTGACTGTTGGAGTGTGACAGCTAAATCAAACTGTACTGCTCAGTTGCCTCTGTCTCCTTCTTGGGTTTGAGACTGTGTCAGACCCACTAAAAACAACACACACACAAGCACTCACAAACACACGCACACACACAAACACACACACAAACATATAGACACACACACATGCACCCAAACAAACACACACATATCCAATGTTTGGCTCCAGGGTCTGCTTTGTAATACAAAGGTAAATCTTTGTTGGGCAAGTCGATGTGTCAACTTGAGTCCAAACTTCAGCTTCCTTAAAATTGCCCTTCAATATACACATTGACATATCTAACAGTGAGTGCATAGAATACAGTATGTGCTACCTATTTTGCTGGCCTGTCTCAAGTGCAAAACATAGCAATTCACCCACTGGCATGCTGATTTGTGCTACTATTGACACCACTGTGTATTTCCTTTAACAGATACCATTTATCGGGACTTTTAAACTGCTTTCAGCCTGTGTTTAATCACTCTCTCTGGGGACTCAGGCTCATTAACAGGCAGGTGGAGACCCATAAGCTCAGCTCATGTCAACCTGAAGTCTAAGAAAACCGGTTGTGTACGTCTTTGTCTTCCTGCCAAAGCAACAGCATGATTCATCATTACCTCTCCAGCAGAATAAAACCGTGTGCTGACAAGTGACAAGTGTGGAACTTTGGCCGCAGTCCAGTAAGCAACTGTGGATCCTTTTAAACTGTCCTGTGACCATCACAGTCCACTGCACTGGCAGACAGGCAGCTGTGAACAAACGTCTGACATGTGACTCAGCTCTCAGTAAAAGTAACTAAACATCTGAATAATAGCTTTAACCTGTTTGCCTACAGTGCACCAGTGGGACAACCTGGGGAAGATGTTGGCCATATTTTCTGTATGTGTGACAATTTTATAAACACAGAGCAAAATCTCATCATTGTCAGGCAGGAAGAGTCGATTAATGAGGGGCAAAATGCTTGATTTTGATATACAATAGGGAACTTTAGATTAGTTAAAATATGATTTGGATGTTTTGCTCACTAGGACATATGGTATACACATAGTATATAGTTAAAATAGTCTGGTAAGCACCATGTTGGCAATAAGGTATATACATTTAAAATATATGGATATTGTTCATCTTTTTTAACCCATTTTTTGTTGGACATTTAGCAGCAAAGTTCCAACATCAGCTGTGCATTCATGAGTGTACTGAGTTTAAAAAAGTGTTCTTAAAAAAGATCCCCTGTGAATAAAAATGACTTGTCTCTACAAAGTCAGAGGTTTTTACCTGTCAAAAATGTCATGACTCAAAGGAAAAACAGTTTTAAAAGTCTCTGAACACACTATTTCCATGGCAGTTTTAATTATATGACTTTTCCGATCCATTTTTCACAGTATGGGCTGATTTGTCAGCGTTCTTTTGCTCTCTCTGATAGATCTGTGAACGAGTTTAAAAATACAGGCCATGCACTCACCTGAGTTTTCGTCCACTCGCTCCTCGACGGTGTGGTCCTTCTGATGGACCCATTCGCTGTTGCATTTGAAATAAATCTGCGTGGCGGGTGTTGCTTTGCAGTAGAGATTGACGGGTTTATTTTTGACGATGTAGCCTTCCTCCGGTTCAAACAGGAAGTGAGGTAAGGGCTCCGGAGGGTCGGAGGGGAAGGTTTCTGGGAGCTCGCTCAGACTCAGGAAATCATCATCATCTCTCACTGGGGGAAGAGGAGAAGAGAAAGGTTAGAATTATGACAGTCACTGCTGTGTTTTTTTATAGATTTCAAGCTCAATTGGTCTTTTTTTGTATTGATGCAGTTTGAGGTGCAACCGAGACAGAATAGGTAAAGGGAGGAAATGCCTAATTCTTTCAATCATTTATTATTGTTCTGTGATTCACACCAGTGAGCAGCAATACCCCCTAAACTGAGTGTGTATGAGGCAACGCCGTTTTTATCTGATCACTAATAATTGCCATGTCTCAAGCTGGTGGCCTGGAGCTAAATTGTCTTCCACTGAGCCATAAAATGCAAATTCAAACAGCAGCTGATCGGTGTGTCCTTTTGTGGAAACCTTCTGGCTATCAAAGTTATTTCCAGAAACCATCCCCTTCCCACAAGACTTAGATTTTGTTATACTGCAAAACTACACGAAAACATCTCCACAAATCTACTCAGTAACGTTTGTTATAGGTTATCACAGGTTTCAGAGGCTCACACATAAACATCCATCCTACAAATACATTGTGTAGACATGCACACTCTTATTCAATCGGACTCAGAAACACTTAATACCCAAGACAAATTATTTCGATATGGTCATCAATGTTCAAATAAATGTCAGTGCTAATGTGAGGATAACGATTCAATAACAATAAACATAAAGTAGGTATTGGAATTGGTTTACTTTGTGAGTCCTGATCTTCTAACCGCCGTCAACTAAATTTAGTGTTGCCATGAAATTGAGCTGTTTTAAAAACTGGTGTAACTGGACTTTAAAAAGGTAATTCTGAACGTGAAAACCTCATTTTGCAAACACTAAAGGTTCTGACACACCAAGCTGGGCTGCAATGAACCTCTGTCACTTTAATATGTACGTCCCGCACTGTTAGTCTCCCATTCTAAGCAGCTTTTTTGGCCAATTTACTTTCAGCATGTTCAATCAGTGCAGGAGCCTGTGTGTTCGAAAAATCAATCTGAAGGGCCTTTTAAATAGAATTGGAAACAGAGCAAAATAAGGAAACCGGTGAGAGGAAAACAAACTAAAGTCGTGAGGGCACACTTTTTCATTTTTATTTTTCATTTCATCTGATCATTCTGTTACAATAATTTGTTATACAGTATGTAACATTAGCTTACATTTAATTTAGTGGATACTTTTTATTCAAAGCAACTCACAATGAGTGCATTCGACAATAAAGAAACAATCAAAAAGTAGGAATCCTGTTAGTAAACTAGCTTCCAATAAGCTGACCACTGTGAGTGACACTGCTGGCTTTCTAAGTATTATGTATCATAAGACAGGGCAGTGTATTCAAAGCTCTACTATTCACAGTTCTCCTTTTGAATGACGAATACAGACTACCACCTACTGCTAGTATGAAGAGTTATTTCCTCTCAAGCTGAGGCAAAACATACAATGTAGTTGTTGGCCATTGCCTGTTGTCCTTGCAGTGGGTTCAAGTTTAACTTTTTGGCCAAGATGCAGGCAACGCTAGGTGACGCTACACGGTCGGCTTTTGTCCCGCTACTTGTTTTATGTTGGTCTGGGCAGAAAAACGTTGTCCTCTTCCTCCAGCCTGCTCTCTATCTTCAACTATCCTTTCAGCCTGCTTCAAACTTTACGCCCACCCATGGCCTCAATCAAAGGTACACCTTCAATGTTTTGTCACCAGGTTGCCAAGGTCACCAAAACACAGAGGATTACAAGGACAGGAAGCGGAATAGGTATTTTTTTTACTTTCCTCTGATAGACACACTTGCACACAATGCACCTTCAGTCCATGCACACACACACACACACACACACACACACACACACACACACACACACACACACACACACACACACACACACACACACACACACACACACACACACACACACACACACACACACACACACACACATTTGCTTCTAACTTGTAATTTCCTTCCACTCCATCATCATCATCCAGTTTCATTAAAACTGTCTAGACCTTTTACTGTGTGTGTGTGTGTGTGTGTGTGTGTGGGTGTGTGTGTGTGTGTGTGTGTGTGTGTGTGTGTGTGTGTGTGTGTGTGTGTGTGTGTGTGTGTGTGTGTGTGTGTGTGTTGCTCACCTACATGTAGAGAGCTGTGACTCATGGGAACATGTGTACACACACATTTTTGACAGAGCTTGAAGGTTTTCCGTCGCTAATGTGTCATGGCTACAGTCACACGTAAACACAATATACGAAAAAAGCAACATATAATTGCACATGTATACGCCTGTGCACACATACACATGCACATTTCTCTAACTGTGTTTATAGTCATTATCTTTGAGAAGAGCAGAGTGCTGTGGGCTACGAGCTAAAAGCAGCTTAGGTAAAACAACAAGACACAAACGGGGGAAAACATAAGTAGGCAGCGTCCCCACTTTGATGTCAAGAAGCTGACATGTTCTCTTTTAGATTTCTAATTAGTTCTCTGACAGTATGAAAACTGACAGACATTTTTATAGCAATATTTCATTATCTGTGGGAAATGTACTCCCGCTATTTATTTATCCAGTGTTAGGCTATATGAAGCAATTTTCATGTCAGTCTGTTTCTCATATGCTGCGCTGCCTTTCTCGTTCTTGTTACTTTATGTTTTTCCACCACTCTGCTTTCCACCCTCCTACCCCTCCCTCCTGATTTGCACATCTCCCCCAAGATCCATTCTCACCCTTATCTGTCATTCAGAGAGCTGGGGGGGTTCATTGCTCCGGAGCGACAGCTATAAAATATTGATTGGCACAAGAAACATGATAGCCAGAGAAAAGGGTGGGTGAAATAGAAAAAAGGGGAGGAACGGCAATACATTTTTCCTAGTTAAAAAACCTTTGGCTCAGAAATTGTTTCCCCCTTTGCGCCATCCTTGCCGCTCTAGCCCATCCTCTCTCAACGTATTTACCCCTTCATCCTGAAGCGTATCCCTTCCTCTTGCTTCTTCTCCTCTTCACCCACCCCTGCTCTCTTCTGATCTCCTGACAGAGTGAATTACTGGCACTAACAGCCCACCTCATAAACGTCTTGCCTGAATGCTGTCATTCTTAATGGATGGCCGTAGACGAACAATGTCCAGGTTCGATTTACGCCATGTAGGCTACTAAATATGCACCGGGGGCAAACATCTTATTTATTCCCTTGCTCGTGTCTATAGGTCTGCCCACTCTGGAAAACCTTAAAACCTAACCAATAAATGTCCGTAAATCTGCAAAGAATTATGTAATCAGAAGTAGCAAATCATGTTCAAGTGTATGTGACAAAGTGAGCCGATCTATCTTATGGACGGAGAGATTGTTGGATTAACAACAAAGGGGAAGAGGTAGATTTAGGACGGAAAATAAAAGGGATATTATTAACATTACTAGCATGGTGAAGAAACGTCTAATAAAACCAATACAAATTGTAGGATTCTCAATAATACTCATAAGAGTACAGTTAGAGTAAGTAATATATGGGGATGCTGAATACTAACATAGTTCCTCGCAACTATGAATGTTGGTCGTCCTACAAAATATGACCCTTCCAAGAAAACCGCTTGTCCTTTGGCCACTTAACAACAAAACTGTACCCTCACACTAAAACATATTTTCAAGACTATGTGGATGAGAACAGTGTCCGTGTCGTAAAGAAAGCCAAACACAGCCATATAGGGTCACAATGCCTCATGGGTAAGAGTGTGGGTTTTTATGTCCATGTGAATGTGTGTTAGGGTTTTATGTTCTTAGTAAGTGGTCTACGATCCGTATCAGTGCAGTAGCCATGGAAATCATGAGATCATACTTCTGACCCTCTTATCATCTAGTTAGAACCAGCAGCAGCTGTGAAAACATGAAGCAGAGACACAGGCACAAACACACACACAAAACACACACTAGGAAAACAAAGCAGAAACGATTCCTATCTATATCAGACATTTGTGCTGCCGAATTACAAAAGTCACACAGATGCATAAAAATATATATATCTCACACACACACACATTCAAACACTAGGTGTAATACAGTGTGTGCCCCCATATTTATATTTTATGTTGCTATCTCTTTCACACTCAAAGTACTTTCCGTCTCACAAACTTGGAACAGTACAAATACCCATTATTGCCGCTCATATAGCTGCCCACAGAATGTCTGCTATAACACACACACACACACAGGCACCTACATAAACTTACACACAATACACACACACACACACACACACATACACACACATACACACACACACACACATACACACACACACACACACACACACACACACACACACACACACACTTAAATAGACCTATTAGAACATTGAAAGGTTTAAGGAGTTAAGGGCAATGGAGGGAGAGGTGAGAAAAGAGAGCAGGTGAGGGATGACGGGACAGCAGGGAGCGAGCTAGTACATCATTGCTATGGAGCTAGATATACTGCCGCCCATTTCCACACACATGAAAACGCAGACACACATGTGCAGGCACAGTAAAACATGCAAACAGAAAGCATGCAAGCGGGCTACAAGAGCATGTCATTAATAAACAGGTACTTAAGTATGTCACACAAGCATGCAGCACACATACAGATCACATACTAATGCACACACGCAATATACAATATAACAATATATCCCTTTGTAAGACTGGTATTTAGAATATTAGTGCTGGTAGCTCAAGGAATGTCTTTATTGGAAGAAACAGTTGACTTACTATCAGATAATATAATAATATGATGTGGTTCTACAGGCCTTTACTTGTCTTTGGCCATGTATTGGTAAAGTATGTTTTACTGAGGAGGTTTTTTTCCGTGTTGCAAGCACAACATAATATATAAAATAACTTCCATTTACAGTCTGCTGTGTGAAGTTGTCAGGAACTATTACAGCATAAATGAGACAGGAATACTGGGAATACAAAGTTTGTTCTCGCAATCACAAACACTTAAACTTTCCTTTTTTTTTTTGTCCTTTCCTTCCCGTATGCAAGAATTGTTTTCAGCTGATAAT